AGATTAGGGATACCTTTCCGGGGGTGCCCATTCGAAGGATTCCAATATATATCGGGGTCTATATTGGGGTGCCCTTATTTGGCAAACTACCACAAAAGTTCAAGTGAGAGGCGGACGAGCGGTAGGGATAGGGGTAGATTCCGGAGGAGGAGGAGGAGGACTTGGTAAGTAGGTCAATAACCCTCATAACCCATGTAGTGGCCCAAGGGTTCCGCCTTACTAACCTACTTACTGAATCCTCCTGTCCACCGAAGCAGTAGCGACCATCTGCAAGTGTACCCTCATCCCGAGTAGCCGAAATGCCTGGCTCCCGGTTCCCGCTGTGAAAGGACGTCGATTAAGATACATGTATCAGGAACCCTGATCATTTACAAGGTATGTGTATCAACTGTGCACATATATACAGATATTTCCGCACAAGCCGCACTCACATGTGGAATTTTCATTTTCGTAAGTACGGTTACTTAATGTAAGTTTCTTAGCGGCAGGCCACATGTTAAGCATCACATCGATGTGCGCGCAGAATTGAGCCGCATGAGTTACGGACTAAAGTTAGGGACCTATCTGGGGATGTATAAGGGGGTTTAGGGGGGACGTTGAGGGAATATACTATAAGTTCAGTACAGGGGTCACATGAACTCATCGGGTTCTCCCTTAGTTTGGTGTGTTTACAGGAAGCTCTGGCTAACGCTACACAATTGAGGGGCAAACCTTGGGAAGGAGTCTAGGGGAGGCAGTAGGGGAACCCATGGGGCTCTCAATTCGATTTGCGAAACCCCGAATCCTAAACCCACATCCTCAAACCCCAAGACCTACACACGAATACAAGTGCTCATGCTAGACTAATGCAAGGCCTTAGGGCTTCGGCTTTGGGGCTTAGGGCTTAAGTTTTAGGATTTGGGGCTCTGTGTCCTAAAACTAAGGCCGATACCCGACCCCCACAGGATAAACAGCGGCCCAGAAGCGGATGGCTAGAGCCCACATCTACGTAAAGTCCCTTTCCTCGCATCTCCCTCCCAAAGACGTTCTGCACCAAGAAGTAATCCTGAATAGGGTTGAAGATTTAGGGTTGGGACAGTAGCAGCAGGGGTATGAGGAGTTGGGGTCGAAGTAGTTGTAGTAGGCTTTAGGGTTTTGTTGTGGAGGAATGTGACCCACTCCCAAAAACAACGCTCTAGGCCGTTGCTTGGTGATTTGTGTTGCCACAGACATCGATCTGAGTAGCTTCGGATTTACGACTGAGGTCCGACTCACCAATACATGGAGAGTTCGGGGGACTTAGTAACTACTGTAGTGTTTAGGTTTAGGATTTAGGGTCAGAGGGATTTAGTATAAAAGTAGGTTAAGAAGGAGGATACTCAACCAGGGTAAGTAAATGGGTTCTAGTAGGTATTCATCTACTTAAATAAGACCCCCTGACCTTCCAAGTATGTCATTCCTCTTTGCGTGCCTGTATCAGAACCTGCCAGGTTTTGGGTTTGGGGCTGTGGTAGTCTATTCTTACCCCTTGCCCAAATAACGAACTCAAAAAAGGACTACATGGGAGACCTAAACCCTAAACCCTAACCAGCTGTTGAGTAGAACCTTGACAGCCCAAACCCCCCAAGATCGGACACTGGAGCCTCTGCAAAATGTCAATTGCCCGATTTCTACCCTCCCAACCCAAAACTCGCCACCCCGATTCCTAAGAACACTGCAATGGATGGTACTCCTTTAAAGGCCCCTAAGCCCTAAACCTCAAACCGTATGACTAAGGTGCCTTCTACAATGATAGGGGAAAGCCGTATGCATCCCAAAGTGCCACACAGGTTACCCACAAGCACACCAGGTTTCATGCTAGCAGCAGGCATTATCAAGAGCAACAGCGAGCATGTTCTTAATGTTAAATGGTACTTTCCAAAAATGAAGGGGACCCCACTGTTGACCCTAAAATACGATAATCCTTTGTATGGGCCTCCCCAAAAGGTACCCCTAATTTTGGGACACCCCCAAAATGAAAAATGACAAGAGGAACGATCCAGATCTGAACCTGCCGACCCTCGAAGCCCTACAAGCCCCAACAACCAGAAGCACATATAAAACAGAAGACTATATGAAATAGGGTTTACGGTTTAGGGTCTTCGTAAGGAAGCAGGGAATGCAGTATACAGGAAGTATATGGGGATTCTATCCCCTTCTTCGCTGCTAACAACCAGTAATCATTACTACCCCCTCCATACAACCCCCCTAGGTTCACCCTTAAATAACCTCAATTAGGCGTAAACCTTAGGAGGACCCCCCACCCTGTAATAGTGGTATAATAAGAATACAAGAGGACCCTAATATAATCCCTATTATCCCCTATAGTCACTATTACTGGGTGGGGGTCCACCTAACGTAAACCCATGAAGTGAGAAAAAGCCTAGAGTCTTGGCTCCATTGCCCAGCAAAGTTGTCAGGCTCCCCTTCCTTCAGGCGGCTTTGGCAGATTAGGGTTTAGGGTTTAGGGGTTTAGGGCTTAGGGGTTTAGGGTTTAGGGATCTTGAGTAGACTGCCTTAAGCTTACAGATTCGTAGAGCAAATACCCTCACAAGTTGCCACGTCCCAATATACGCTACCCTAAACCCTCAACTCTATATCCTTAAACCCGAAACCCCACCTTTCCCTAAGGGCCCTAGGAATTAGGGTTGAGGGATTAGGGTTTAGGGAACCCCGCAACTGTCAACTTGACCCAGAGCCGTATAAATACAAGGAAATATGTTACAACAGCTATAGATTAAAAAGATTAAGAGGAAACATATTATCGCAGTTCTAGATTTTGAAAGGATTACGAGGAAATAAAAAATGAAACCAGTATAGGATGAAGAAAGTGATTACAAGGACATATTTGTAACATTATCTGTAAGTAAAGAGCACCAGGGAATGGACTTGGTCAGTTTTCCGGCCTCTACCAAAAAGGGGGGGGGGTTAGGGTTTAGGGTATTCTGTTACTACATAGGGTCGAATATTAAACACCATGAGAAACAGTGACCTTCCTCTTTGCCACCTGCAGCTGCAAAGATTTCTCCACGATTCTACTTATACACCATATCCTAAATTTCTAGTATCCCCCTTAAAAACCCTATAATCCTTCCCTATATAATCCCCTATAGAACCCTCCTTTGAGGAGTTTGGACCCTCAACCCTAAACCCTATATAACTCCCCTTTGAGGACGGGAATCCCAAACGCTAAACTCATGAAAGTCTGAGGCCTAAAACACTGCTGACAGTATCAAGGCCATATGTACTACAATCTAAACTCCTTAAAGGGGTTTATGTAGTTGATAGTCATATGGGGGGATACTAGAAGTTTAAACTATAGCTCCTATGCATATGCCTCAAAATAAACGTATGAAAGCTCTCGAGTACGGACCCCGAAAATCCCTTCATAACATATCCCTAGGGGCCCTAAAGAGTACTCCTGGTTTCAAAAACTCTCATATTCGTAGTGTGCGCATTAGCTCCCAGAACCCGAATACTGCTCCTAGGTTGCTGTAAAGCAGGCACATGAGGTTCGGATGTCTCCGAAATATGGCCAAATTCCAATAACCCTAAACCCTAAACCCTAAACCAAATTCCAATCAGGAGGCGTCGCGGCTCAGTATACCAAAAAGATAACATTTCAGTCCAAATGACTGGGTTGGACCCTAAAACCATTTGAAAAATGGTAGTATATAGGATCCCTTATTAAAGCCACTAGGGAAAATATTAAATATCCCAGGGGCCTACCCACATGACTGCTTTGGAAAAGCTGCGTATAGGGGCTTCCAAAAGTTCAGGACCTTTTTGGGAAGCCCTGATGATAAAGGACAGAATCTTTTGGAGTGGTGGACAGTAGACCTATCATCTAAACTCCTAGAACCCCCCCTGAAATACTCCCCTATACCATTTTAAGGAGTTTAGACTATAGCTCAGTTTGCGAATACTGCTTTTTCAGAATAACCCAGGCACCAGCTGAAGCTTGCGACACTTGAGCAAAAACTGAATTAACCCCCCCCTCCTAAAAGTACATCTTCCTACTTGGAGGGTCACAGGAACTCAGTCAATAGCTTGATAAGGGGGGATAACTATGATTACTATCTGGGTTCTAGGGATTGTTAACCTACTTACTTAGTTCCCCCCGACCCCAGCACCCGCTAATGGCTACCATTCCCTAACATAGAATGGTGCTGTAGGGGGTGGCGGAGTCTGTTTTTAGGGTATGGGGATTACTTGGTAGCCTGGTTCCCGGGTAACCCCTTAATAACACGGGCACCCTTTTCCTAATGTGCAGCTCTAATCAGGAAACCCACTTTTTGTCCACTAGCATGACTTGTCTGCGGTCTTCTTAAAAAGTGGAATTTCAACTGCCCCAGGAAAATCCTCGCCGATCGGCTGGCATCGAGGGGCTTTTTAAGGTGAAACTGTGTTCAAGCAATTCTGAAAAAAGGAGCTTCCTCACATGACAGGCGAATTGCTTGAGAGAAGCGGTCGAACAATCCTTTCCGACGCTGTGCAGACCTAGTAGACAAAATTAAAACCCAAAATGGAGTTGCTTCAGCACCCCGAACATAATGCCTTTCTGATACTTGCCCACAGAAGTTGAGCTGGCTCACTTGCGAGACAGGCCGTGTTTCCTTCGACACGCAAACAGCAGGCAGGCAAACGTCACTCCAACGAAGCTGAACAAACACGTGCCCGGCAAGTTGCCAAATTGCTCGTCGCCGACAAGTGCAACTTCCAGCTTCCAACACTGCTGTTCAAGCTCCTGGGTTGAATGTTTAGGGCTTAGGGTTTAGGGATATACTGAAAACAACAAGGTTTCGTTACTTTGGATTTAAGTTCCCATAAATCTCTATTTATTACCCCAATTTCTATTTCACTTTCCATTTTCTGTTCCATTATAGGGGGATAATAACCCCTATATAACCCCCTATGTGGGTTCTTTAACAACCCTAAACCCTAAATCCTAAACCCTAAACCCTAAAAAGCAACCCAGGCTCTAGGGCTGCCACGAAGACCAGGACCAAGACTCCCACAATGAAAGCATTGACCAGCACGCTACAGCAAAGCCACCTGCGCCTGCGTCGCAACGCATATGCCAAGCCTGGGTTGCTGTTACTAAGGATGCTTAATCTAAGTTACTATTTGGGGGCAAACCCTCTTAATTACTATATATATAATATACTCATTATGGTAACTAAGGATGCTTGATCTCAGTTACTATTTTGGGAAACCCTATTAATTACTATATATACCGTACCCATTATGGTAACTTAATTTAAGCTCCTTAACAGCAACCCAGAAGCTGACTCCCACGAAGAAGACCAGGGGCACAACACCTAGCGTCCATCCAAGCCCACGGATAAGCTCTCGAACGGCCCAAAGAATATGCAGCATGTCAGCGTGATCGAAGAAAGTGGTTGCGTTGTCCATGAGATGCCATAGTATTGGAACAGCTGAACCTGCACATTGCGTGTAGGTCCAGATCTCACTGGACAGCTGCTCGGAAAGCAATTCCAAGACATCTGTCCGAACCTTTGCATCAAAGGCCTCAATGCTGCCAAACCATTCCGTGATGCATTGGAGAACGATCTTCCGATCGCATGGAAGGGGTTGGCCTCGTTTTGACATGTGCCTGGCGCTGCAGCAAGAGCAAAGGCTGTCCAGAACTGTGAAGTTGCATAGCTCGTCCTGTAGCAGTTGCACTGATCCGAAGTAAGCCCGTAAAGCTGCAATAGATGCGTAGCCGCCTATGGAGGCACACAGCCCCATGAGAGGAAACAATATGTAGGTCTTCTCTACAAGCTCCTCCCAGTCCAGTGAGCCGATAGCAACAATAATGGCAAAGAAACCTGTGGGAAGAGAGATGAGGCAAGGCCCCAAGATGGTTGGTCGGATAATCAGCTTGGGTCTTTCCCCAGCCGGCCGACTATGCAGAAAAGCGCTCATCTCAAACACACACCACAGCCGACGTGTGTACGTCGCATCCCAGAGCACCAAGAGTGCATCTGAACATTTCAGAAATGCACCCATACTGAGAACTCCGGCCACTTGCTCGACCTCGTCCGCTTGATTGATGCATAACATGTCAAGGAAGATGCTGTGTCTCGGCCTCCAGCCAAATAACACCAGCAGATATATTCCGAAGCCCGTGAGAAGGCACCAAGAGATGCCAGGCAAACCAGGTCTGGGATGGAGCTCAGGAATAAGGCCCATGAAGACAAGAATCATCATCATGAGACTGGTCAAGCTTGATACCAGTACCGCACGCATACCATTGTTTAAGTACATGGCAGTCAATACCTTGTTGAACTTGCTCCCGTGCCAACTATGACTCCAAAACCTGGGTTGCTGTTAAGGAACTTAAGTTAAGTTACCATAACAGGTATATGTACATAGTAATTAATAAGGTAACTGAAATTAAATTCCTTAATAGCAACCCAGGAACTGGTCTATCCTGTCTGTCTTGAAGCTCGAGCGATGCTTGCCGGAAGGGCTCCTCCGGAGCGCATGGCCGAAGCCCGCCAGAGCGTGGTACGCATGCACAGCCTGAATGATCTCCGGCTTTGCCGGCTCCATTCGACAAACGAATTCGGCAACGCGATTCTCAACTCCTCCAAAATCAGAGCTTGCTACATGGATGGTGGCCTCTTCGTTCGACAGCTGTAGGCTGGAATTGCTGATGTTGCCATCATCCGGCGTTAGGCATGGCTGCATGGAGGGCTGAAGATCTGGGTCTTTAAACGGAAGGCAGAGGCCTGGTTACTTAATTAAAACAGGCCTTGGGGGGCACGCTACACGTATACTACACTTTCTAAAGGGCTTCTACGGGAAGAACGTTAATTTTTCGGGCTCTATATTGCTGTCCCCTGCTTGGGGATCACAGTGTCACAGTGATTTTGGGAATTCAGGCCAGCACCTGGACAAAAACCCTGCTCCTACCCTTCCCTGTAGATGGATTCCTGGGGTTTCGGGTTTAGGGTTCAGGGATGACATTCTTATGACGGCCCTAGCTTTTTGAAAATCCCCACTGGTGGGAGGTCTTTTTATTCCGCTGTTAGGCGGCGGCGGCGACATGCCAGCATGGAGACAGGTTTGCATTCACGTCTGCATGACTTCTGTGTTTTTGAGTTAATGTATATACCGAAATGCATACCCCAGAGCCCTGACTCCCTAAACCCCTAAATGCGTAATTTAAAAGTGAAGTCCTCAGTGAGAACTCCACCAACATAAAGCCAGATTTTGGACCACTTCATCTCAGCCATGCTGCACAGGATCCAAGCATAACTAGCCACACTAAACACTCCCCAGACAGCTGGGAGGATACGAAAACTAGATCCCCCATAACATACACACCCATAACAACGCCTGTGCAATCCCTAAACCCTAAACCCTAAACACTAAACTCACCACTTTATTCGAGGCGATCTTTAGCATCCCTTTGGGAAGTTTAGGCCCTAAACCCTAAACCCTAAACCCTAAACCGGTTTAGGCCCTTACCCCAATCCCTAAATCGTCCCTACCTTGCAGAGAAACTCGAGGTTGAAGTCGTAGAAAGCATCCTAAGGGTCACCCCTAGGGGCTTAGGGGTCTAGGGGGTTTAGGGTTTAGGGGTTTAGGGGTTTAGGGTTTAGGGGTTTAGGGTTTTAGGGTTTAGGGGTCATATAGGTATAATAGAAAATGGAGACTACTGTTTAATATGTTGGGGCTATATGCGTAGAATGGAAAAGAAAATGGAAACTACTATATATTAGGTGGACCCCCCACCCAGTAATAGTACCTGTAAGGGATTATAAGGAGTATATTAGGATCCTCTTATATTCTTATATTCCTAGTTTACCACTATTACAGGGTGGGGGCTCCACCTAAACCCTAAACCCTAAACCCTACACCCTTAACCCTTGTGGGGGGTCCACCTAAACTATATAGTATGTTGGGTTTCGGTTTAGCATCCTAAAGGTTTTGTAGTGCTCTGGGGGTTTAGGGTTTTAGGGTTTTAGGATGGCTTAGGGTTACATGGGTTTAGGGTTTTAGGGGTTTAGGGTTTTAGGGTTTTAGGATGGCTTAGGGTTACATGGGTTTAGGGTTTTAGGG